ACTTACTTTCGGTTTAACAAGCGTACGAGTAAACGGTCCTTAAAGTTTAAAGGTGCCATTTAAATGGGGTATTCAGCTCACATTTTCCCCTTTTTTCTCCCTAACTTTTTTGTGCATAAATCTAATTAGCATGTGCTTCGACAATGACTTCAAGCAACTACCACATCACACATTGTCAGCTCAAGCTCTCGAGGAAATCCGTTTAATTTCCCTCAAACCCCAAAAGGCAGCGACAAATTTTCTTTCCCATGCCATAGTACACAGAAAAAATATGTTGATAATATAATAATAATATTACTTTTAAACATCGACAATTTTATAAAGACTTTTCATTGAAAAGAAAAATAAATCTTTAAAGATTCTATACTTTAAATGACTTTTCCAAAAACTAAAATAGTGCTAGAATTGAAGTGCTTGTAAAATATTTCAAGAACAATTGTAGTTCTCAAAAAAGTAATTAGTAACTGCTTCATTGATTACTTAACACTCCATTTCTCTCAGTGCAGTTCCTCTTGAGGTGATTTGGAAGTACTCTCCTTCCGACTTTGTGTAAAAGTGAACTCGACTCAATTGCGGGCGTGTTCTGTTAGTCTTGCGGTTGCCAGCGACTCCTGCTCCTGGTTTTTTGGTCCTGTGCCCGCACAATTGGTTCAGGTACAAAGTCAGAGATTGCCAAAAGGTGTTGGTAGATGCTCCTTATTCCCGGCATTGTGTTAGCCCGCTTGTGTATGCACAGGTGTCATCCCACAGGTGAAATGGATCCTCTCGAGGGCGCAGGACTCGTGCCAGGGCGTCTCCTTTGTTCGGCCGCATATTGAGAGCAAAACGCTCCGAAATATGAATTGAATCTCCTCGAGTGCATTTAATATACATTACGCCCTCGTCCTTTCGTCCCCATTTGCACCTTGCTAATATCCTGGCGCTCCTTTGCCGCCAAAGTTGCGAGTAGTTTGCCATCCTCCGCTGTTTGCCCAAAAATTTCGAAGCATGAGGGCCTTACAATATCCGCTGAAACGTTTAAGTGAGATTAACAAGTGATGACTGATACCGACTTTGGCACAATCAGGATTCCACCCAGGACCTCGGGCTGTGTGCTTTCTATTAAATTAAAAGTGGCAAAGAAAAAGCGGAGGAGGAACTGCTGCCTCTGGCATAAAGTGCAGCTTTACTTTCGGCTTAGGAAGCAGTCTTCTTTGTCATGTCAATAAAACCTTCTTTATCTCGACACTCGATTAAGGCCCCATGAAATGATAAGAAAATGTTTCTTGAAATATATACATATGTAGGTAAAATTCATGAAAACCCCTGTGTTCGCAAAGGATTGTAAAACATATAATAATGTATGCTAGCTGATAAAATAGAAAATTAAATGTACAAAATAATTATATAATTTGTTTTTATATTGTACAAGTTAGTGGATTGAGTTAAATAAGTTACACTCTACCTCTCGATCTAATGAATCGAAAATAACGATGTAAGCAGAGAACTTTTCTGATTCTGTTTGAATTGTACTGTAACTATGAACATTTCAATCTATGCAGAGGAATTACTGCTGTCAAGCTTTTGAAATTAACTGACGTTATTCAATAAAATGTATAAGTGAATGAAACGACAAGATGTGTTTGTTCTACTTTACTTTATTTTATTTATTATAAATATTTTACCTCAACTATGTAAATAAATTGTGTTCGATCCATGAATTAATTTATTATTTTGCGATCAACATTTGTTACTATCACCCATTTAAGTCACAACAAATAAGTTTTCTCTTCTTGGCATTTCAACGTGATTTTATAGGGAGATAAGCCATTGGTATTATTAGCAACGTGCATCTCAGAGGGTTAGCTTTCAGTCGCTTTCGATCTGAGCTTGAATCATGAACAGTTTCCTAGAGATTTTCTTTGTGGTTTCGGGTTTTATCAGCCTAATACCTTTAGCTGAGCTCGTACCACTAAATTGGACACCAGGAGAACGCAGGGTTTACGAGCAATTGCGATTACAGGATTGCGGAATCCTATCAAATGTAATCCCCACCCAAAGGCTTCAAAGAAGGATCACCGGCGGCAGGAAATCCATCCTAATGTCCCAACCTTGGATGGCATTTCTCTATGTACCAGGGGATTTGGAGATGTGTCGCTGTGGAGGCGCCCTTATTTCTGAAAGTATTTATAGAGAAAAGTAAATACTACTCATCAACTAATAATTATATTCTTTATTCTAATCAGGCTTTGTTTTGACTGCTGCCCATTGCATCAAATTGTGTCCACAGTCCACAGAGTAAGTTAAGCTAAAATATTTCTTGCGAGATTCATTTTAAAGGCTAATTCTTGATCAGTTTGAGAGTTCGACTGGGAGAACTTGACTTAACTTCCTCAGAAGACTGCACAACCTACAATTATAAAAAGGTTTGTGCCCCACCCGTTGAGGAATTTACTATAGAAAAGGCGACTATTCATGAGGAATTTAACCCCTTCTCCCCTTGGTTTGATGTAGCCCTCCTAAAACTTGACCGGAAAGTGGTCTTTAAAGGTAAGAAATCCGTAAATTTGTTTGATATCTATAATACTTTTGTTTTCCTGTTCCTAGATCACATCCGACCCATTTGTCTACCTCTGACCGATCAACTCCTGGCGTTTACCTCCAATATTGGACAGTCTTACATGGCGGTGGGGTGGGGAAAAACGGAGGATCTGCGCTTTGCCAACAGTACAATGGAGGTCGATATAGACTCTGAGAGGTGTAACGGCGGTTGGGACAGCTCCTTCCTGTGCGCCGATGGAGACTTTGTGGACACCTGTACCGGCGACTCAGGTGGTCCACTCACCTGGTCGACTCTTTATTTTGGTACCGTTCGAACAGTGCAATTTGGAGTGGTCAGCACTGGGAGCAAAGAGTGTGGAGCTGCTCAGAAGGCCTACTACATGGATGTACCCACCTTTATGCCCTGGATAATCGGCAAGCTGGCTGAGGTCCCACACTTGCAAGTCAATTTATATTCCAATAATTTGAGGTAAAGTTGGAAATAAAATGCAACTTTACTTTCGGCTTAGGAGGCGGACTTCTTTGTCATGTCAATAAAACCTTCTTAATCTCGACACTCGATTAAGGCTCCATAAAATGATAGGAAAATGTTTCTTGAAATAAATATATATACAGGTAAAATTCATGAAACCCCTGTGTTCTTAAAGGATTTTAAAACATATAACAATGTATGCTAACTGATTAAATAGAACATTAAATGTAATAAATAATTATATAATTTGTTTTTATATTGCAGAAGTTAGTGGATTGAGTTAAAGAAGTTACACTGTACCTCTCAATCTATAAGAGATCTTTTCTGATTCTTTAGTATTGTTTGAACTGTAATAAAAGTGTTAACATTCCGATCTTATAATTATTTTACCATATTTATGTATACATGTTGTGTTTGATCCATGAACTATTTTATTGTTTTGTGACCAACATTTGTTATTATCAGCCATTTAAATCACAATAAATATTTGTTCTCTTCTTGGAATTTCAATGTGATTTTATAAGGCGATAAGCCATTGCTATTACTAGCAAAATGCATCTCAGAGGAATGGTTTTCAGTCGCTTTTGATCTGAGCTTGGATCATGAACAGTTTCTTCAAGATTTTCTTTCTGGCTTGGGCTTTCATCAGCCTAATACCTTTAGCTGAGCTCGTACCACTAAATTGGACACCAGGAGAGCGCAGGGTTTACGAGCAATTGCGACTACAGGATTGCGGAGTCCTATCGAATGTAATCCCCACCCAAAGGCTTCGCCGAAGGATCACCGGCGGCAGGAAATCATTTCTAATGTCCCAACCTTGGATGGCATTTCTCTATGTACCAGGCGATCTGGAGATGTGTCGCTGTGGAGGCGCCCTTATCTCTGAAAGTATTTATAGAGAAAAGTAAATACTACTCATCAAGTTATAATTATATTCTTTGTTCTAATCAGGCTTTGTTTTGACTGCTGCCCATTGCATCAAATTGTGTCCACAGTCGACAGAGTAAGTTAAGCTAAGATATTTCTTGCCAGATTTCATAAGGAACTATTTTTATTTAGATTAAGAGTTCGACTGGGAGAGCTCGACTTAACTTCCTCAGAAGACTGCACCACCTACAATTATAAAAAGGTTTGTGCCCCACCCATTGAGGAATTTACTATAGAGAAGGCGACTATTCATGAGGAATTTAACCCCTTCTCCCCTTGGTTTGATGTAGCTCTCCTAAAACTGGACCGGAAAGTGGTCTTTAAAGGTAAGAAATCCGTAAATGGGTTTGATATTTAAATACTTTTGGTTTCCTTGTTCTAGATCACATCCGACCCATTTGTCTACCTCTGACCGATCAACTCCTGGCGTTTACCTCCAATATTGGACAATCTTACATGGCGGTGGGGTGGGGAAAAACGGAGGATCGGCGCTTTGCCAACAGTACAATGGAGGTCTATATAAACTCTGAGAGGTGTACCGGCGGTAGGGACAGCTCCTTCCTGTGCGCCAATGGAGACTTTGTGGATACGTGTACTGGTGACTCAGGTGGTCCACTCACCTGGTCGACCCTTTACTTTGGCACCGTTCGAACAGTGCAATTTGGAGTGGTCAGCATTGGGAGCACAGAGTGTGGAGCTGCTCAGAAGGCCTACTACATGGATGTGCCCACCTTTATGCCCTGGATAATCGGCAAGTTGGCTGAGTTCCCACAATTGCAAGTCAATTTAGATTCCAATAATTTGAGGTGAAGTTGGAAATAAAATGTAGAACCATCACATTCCTAAATCAGAACTATAATATTTGTATTTTATTTAAATATAGTCAAACATATCTTTATTTCACTCAAAAAAAGTTGGTGGGCCGTAATTCATTTTAGCATGACCCGATTTATTTCCAGGCGTTATCCCTCCCCATAACTAAGCAGACGTCTATGCCTGGTCTAGTAGCTCTGTTTAATTCTGTTCTTGAAATTCAAGGCGTTCGAATCCAGAACTTTCAGTAGCTAAGAAAAAACCAAACCCCCTTAAAGTTTTGTAGAATTTTTTTGTTACTATTTGATAACCGCATTTCCATTGGAATCACTATGTCGCACCAGATTGGAGTCATGTGCTTGGGTCACACGGAGGCAGTGGTGGAGCTATCCTTTAGCAACGACTTTGGATCCGGGTTTTACCTTGCCTCGGCAGGACTCGATGGAGTGGCAATGCTGCGACATGGTGACACTGGGCACATGATAACCCATCTAAGGAAACACAAGCAAAGCGTGTGGAGCGTGTCCTTGAACGAGGATGCGAAGATCCTGGCCAGTGGCGGGGGCGATGGCAAGGTTCGCATCTGGGATGCCTTGCTGGGGAAACAGCTGTCGAAGTATACGCGTGAAGAAACAGTATCCTGTTTGGACTTGAATCCCAAGGGCAGTCGTTTGGTAAGTGGGTGCCTCGGTCACGAACCCACCGTTGCCCTCTTCGACCTGGAGAAATCGAACAAGAAGCCCCTGATGGAGTTCCATGGTCACCAGCGGGGTGTGAGGGATGTATGCTTCTGCTTGGAGGACCGTTGCATCTTCACCTCCTCATACGATCGAAATGTGAAGATGTGGGATTGCCGCAGTGGCGAGCGGACCAACTCCATAGTCCTCACTCACCACGCCAAGTCCATGGAACTGCACCACGACAGGGAGATAGTTACCATAGCCTTTGACTGCAATGTGATCTTTGTGGATCCCAAGAGCTTCGAGATTCTGAAGCACCAAAAGTTCACCTACAAAGTAACTTCGGCCGCCCTGCATCCCAAAAAGGAGAGCTATGCGTGTGGAACCGTTGAGGGTATCGTCCACAAGTACGACTACGTAACGGACCTCTCTTTGGGATCCTACTTAGGCAAGGAGAGGTCCGCCGTTTGTTTTCTGAGGTTCAGTCCCGACGGCGAAATATGTGCGATGGCCCTGGCAAATGGTAATATCGTACTTTGGCGACAGAACATGTACAAGAAGTACGGCCTATGGACTACGGTTTCCACCTTGGAAGAAGACAACGAGGCAGCCGAAGACGCTGATGGGGAGGAGGATGGTGATGGGGATGGGGATGAGAACGAATCCATGAGTTGAATACCCCCTGCACAACTGTACCCCTGCTTCGATTCGAGTTCCCTTCTGGGTTAATTGTGTTTTTTGTTCGCTTGCATCGTTCCCCATAATCAAAGTCCGAAAAGGGTCACGTTTCTTTCTCTCTAATAAATTTGTCTTGTGATTGAAAACCCCCAAAATGCCCGAGCGGTCTACCTGCCTTTTATGGCTATCTGACTCTCATTTCCAACCTGTTTTGTGGATGATTTTCAAAAGGATTTCGGTTATTTTTCTACGTTGAACGATCGCCGACGCTGATTGCCTCGCTGCTTTATGGCGTTTCTCACCTGATGCAGTCATAAATGCGTTTTTTATTATTATTTGAGTTTGGTCGGGGAGTCGGGGAGCAGAGTCCCCTAATGCATGGATTGTAGGTATCCACCAAAAGTGACTGAGGTTTTTCTCCTTTTCTGTTGGGGTAGCTCGGCGGCAGATAGCTTATACAAATACCGAGAGCCAGGAGATACATCTCTGACTGATCTGCTTTCCTGACCTAAGGTACCTTTGGATTTGACAACTTTTCGACTCGATGCCTCTGTTTGTTTGTTTATCTTTCTTTGGGTTCGCTCTCCTCGAATGGTTTTTCATAAATATTTATAATTTCTTGGCTGATAAAACGAGTTCCTCGCTCCATGCTGAGCCAACGTATTTTCCAAAACACGTTTTCCACGCGTTTACCAGGAAAAGGAAACCTTTTCCCACAACCTCCTTGGTTGTTTGTCCACCGAGAGAGAGACTGTTCCAATAAAATGAGTTGTCATGCTGGCTTTATCCGTGGTCAGCACAAGTGCCTTTGCGTTGATTGATGATTTGAGTGGAAAGTAGCACAGTAGCCGCAGGATCAGCAAAGGATTAGCCTCAACGGTAGCCAGTCCAAATATTTGCATACTTGCCCGACTATTTGCATTCCACTTCGGTGGCAATCCATCAATAACTCCCGATCTGACCGCAATTTGTCCGAGCAAAAGATCCAAGATAGGTAAAGGTAATTTATAAATGTCCTGTGCAGAGATTTTGTAATATTAATGATTGGTCATTTGCCAGGGTGAAATGCTTTGTAACACTTGGTGAAGATCGCCTAGCCTGTTTCTGTGTTTTGATAGGGATCACTACGATTAAGGTTGAGATATATAAATGGTTTTCCTGCTCAAAGGAGAGTCTAATGGTCAGGAAAGGGTAGGCGATGATAATATAATTAATACCTAGAACTTTACTCAAACGATCAAACGAATTCCGAGCCGGTTTCTTATTATTAAAAACTAATTATTAGGAAAAATCGTTAAAGATTTAAATGTATCTGGATCTCTGGATTCTCAAAAAATTATGATATTGTTGCTTTGAAGCAGTCGAGTTTTTATTTGGGTTTTTATTTTCCTAGTTCCTAAGATAGTTTTTCTATATTGAAATTATAATTTTTCTCAATTCGTTTAAGAAATGGGATGACTTTTCTTATTATTTGTACTCAACGTTTCAAAGGATATGTTACTGATTGTATTAACCACCCCTTTATAAGTTATTATTTCTAAATGAAACACTCCCACAACAAGTTGGGCTGAACCCTGAAATATCCTTAGTCGTAGCACACCTGCCTAGCAAAATATCAAAAATTGCGGTCACAGTTCCGTGCGCTGAACAGTTTTTATGGTAATTTCCTTACGGAACCGAGAATGTTTGAAAAATATCTTACGGCAATTTCGGGCGTTACTTAGCTGGCTGGTCATGCTCGCTGAACATTGGCACCCCCACCGGAACACGTGGCAGATCGTACTAGGTTCTTGACTATATGTTACTATATGAAGTGGGATATCTTGGCCTCCTCCTGGGGTGAAATGGGCTGGCTTGATTGTGTGCGGTGTGTTGAGGCGATAAGAAGCCTTGCATTCGAAATGAGTGTAACGTATATTTTATACAAGACCATGCAGGACTGGACTTCGTTGAGGTTTTAATAGAAACGAGATAATGTTTTACGGACCGCGACCTTTGCCTAGAAGACGATGATAGTGTTTGCCCAGGTCTTATCGGCCCAAGGGGGATAGTTAAGTGCATATTAGGGAATAACCGATAAGATCCGATTTCGATCCAACCAGCATTGAATGCTCCAATCAACCGTATACCTTGAGTATCATCTAATGCCCGCACGTTCCACGACAATCCTTTAGGATCTGCCCTTATAAACGGGGACACTTGAGAACCGCTTTTCCACCTCTTTTCTCCGCCTTTTTTCCGCGTGTGTTGACACAACCCATATAAACCGTATAGTTGCCAGGATATCCTGCTCGGGAGGAAATTACTTAAAGGGATCACGAACTCTTCCCCCTTTCGAAAAACTCCTTCTTGAGTTGTTTATGTTTTCAGGCATGACTGCAACCGAACGCCAGTAGAATTCTCAAATTTGTTATAAAGTGTGTAAATTCACGTTGCTTTTCTTTTTGAGGGAGGGTGTGTCCCATAAACAGAAAACCGAACCACAGGGATCGGATCTTATGGGAGTGTGAGGGGAAGAATTATGGATGATGCTGCCTAATCGAACGGTCGTCAAACGATCTCTGCCTTTTTTGGGGTGATTGCACTCAGTTTTTTCTTGTTTTTTTCTCGGGTTTCTGTGTGGAAAGCCGAGAGGTTTTTCTATTATTTCGTCGAGTGCAAAGGACAAAGCAAATGATGTCTTTAGCCAACGAAACTGACTTCCAGGGTTTTGTTCCTTTTCTCTCCTTTTTTATTTAATTGGATTCGTGCAAACAATATAAATCTCGTTTTATTGCCTTTGGTAGTGTAATTTAATTTTTTACGATTTTGCACATGAAAGGAAAAACTTTCGGAAAATGCAGCAGGAAATGAGCGGAAAACTTTGGTTATAAAATGTGAGTCATAACGGAAATTTGAAATACCCATTGCAGTGGCAACTCCATGAGGAAATTCGAAATAGACCTGGGCCATATTTACTGGACCAGTGCCCCACATTGCAAGCGCGATTTTCCCCTTGGCAACACGAGGAAAGTGAAAAGAATCGGTGCCCCAAATTGCCCCCTGCCACGCCCCTTCGACGGCTAAAAATCCAGTTTGAGGCCAAACAAACCGAAGCCAAAACATTTTTTTTTACTTTCGTATCTTCCCATCGCAATCGCAACCAAAAGTACAGCTCCACCGATGCAACAACAAACAAAAGGGCAGCGAGCACGCGGATGGAAAAGAGAGAGAGATGGGTATATAGTGTGAGAGAGAGAAGGAGTTAGGAAGTGAGAGCGAGAGGGAGTTAGGCCGACTCTTTTGATACGCTCTATCAAGGGAACTTTTTTAAACTAATATTATTCTAGAAGTGTGATCTATAACTAGGGCTTTATAATACTTGTACTTTTGGTATATATCAACAATATTAATTAGGTAAGTATAGTTTGAAACCAGAGTTTCATATCCAGGAAACCCATGTTTTTATGATGCCATATATAAAAGTACAATTTTTAAGGAGATCTAGGTTTAAAGACTACATAGTTCAGTCAATGATTTAAAATTAGTTATGATATAAGGTGCATCCAAATAGTTAATCTACATCTTTTCCTAAGTTAATTGATTTTAAAATTTAGGTTGATACATTTTTATAAACTTAAAATATTGTTGTTTGTTTATTTATTAAGTTATTTTTTTTTAATTTTTTTTCGTAACATTGAAATACTTAAGAAGTGCATTGCCCCTTCGACATGCTGATCTCCCCAGAAAAGCGCATTCGAACCCAGGCGTAGGGTTCTCTTCCTCCATCTCTGTCGCACCCACTGTCTCTGATCTTTTTGAATTCGAGGGTTGCTGCACGGAGAGCGCGGTTCGCTCTGCATTTGAGGTTGGCAACGCCTCTGGTGGTTGTTTGACGTTTGCTTTTGCTCCGTGTTTTATTTATCATTTATTCGTTTCTCCGAGTTCGTCGATAGAGGTTCCATCCTCTTACGTTGCCTTACGTTTTGCCGACACTTACGTTCGAAACGTCGAACAGTGAAACAGTAAAAGACCAAACACCGAACAGAGAGGTTCGCCCGATCGGTAGCGCTATACCACAAATCCCAGTGCGCAGTGCGCCAAGCTAAAGACCCGAAAAAGTCAACAAACCTCGCTGTTACAACGACTGCAAGTTGTATAAATAAACATAACACTAGTATTAATAGTGCTGCCCCTGTGGCATTCATCGCAAACCAAACTGAAAAGAGCGACACAAACGTTGAGTTTTGTGAGTGGAACTGCAGTGTAGTGTGTTGAAACCACCAACTGGAAACCGTGACTAAGTGCTATTAGACCAAGACCTTTGTTTATAATTATTTTATAAACAATTGCAGTGTGAAATTTCACTTTAGAAGGCTGCAAAACGTAAAAAAGAAGCTGCCACAAAGCACACACACAGGCACACTCACTCTCCCACACACACACACACGCGCAGGCGAACGTGTGGAGACCGTGATTTGTATTCGTGTGGAGACTGCTCTCTCTCGCTCTTGGGGCTGCCCGAAAACAAAGTTTTGGCGCCAAAAGTTTGACAGTTCGCTTTGGCGTGCGATTCGCAAACAAGTGGCAAGAAAACTGCGTCCCAAAACAGAGCAGAAAAACATTGGAGGAGCCTAAGAACAGAAATAGTCTATAATATCAAGATGGTCAGTGCCCGAGTCCTGAATCCCGTGATGCTGAGTGAGTTCTGCAAGATGAGCAGCAGTCCGGCGGTGAGTCGCAATTTGCCCTGCGGTCGCCAGTTGAATCGCATCAAGCGTGACCTTTTCGGCACCACCAAATCCGCCGAGGGTTCAGCCAACAAGACGTGAGTTTCCTAACTAACCCCTGGATTTCAACCATGTACTAACCTACCATCTTTACAGACCCTTCAATGCCGAACTGGAGCGCCACCAGGAGTTGGCCACGCAAAAGTGGGGCTTCGACTTCCGCGCCGGCTGCCCTTTAAACGAAAAATCCTCCTTCATCTGGGAACGCGTCAGCTTCCAGGAGTCCAGCTTCGCCCCGGAGATGTACACCCTCACCAGGGCCGCCCACGTTCGACCCTCCGCTGATAGCAGTCCCAGTGACATGGATGTTCTGGTCAACGAGCGCTCCGAGCGCGAGAACTTCGGCTCCAACCTGGTCAACTCCTCGCTGGAGTCGAACACGGATAATGACTCCTGCTACGACTCACAGGACGAGTCGCTCACAACGCGATTCAGCTCCTCCAACTTGGCCAGCACCTCCTCGATCGTCCTGCGCAAGCGACAGCCCAAAATCACAGGTGAGTTTCGCCCGGGGGTTGGTAATATACCATTATATCTTGATCAGCGGAGCTTGACGGTTCCCAGGGACAAGCTTCATTGCACTTCGATAGACGTTACAAATTGGTTTCCCATAGCTTTCAGTCCTTGTCCTGTTTTAGTTTTGTTTATTTTTGGTTCTCAGTCTGGAATTGAGGGAGTTTTTGAGGAACTAGACCTAGAACTAAGGGCTTGTTTATAAACTAGCTGTTAACTTTTTGTTTGAGATTTGAAAGGTTGCAATAGGAATTAAGGAATATAAAGTTCATAATGGATTTAAAAATGGTATTACGCCAAGTTAAGAAATTTAAAATCGCGAAGTTATAGTAAACAGTTTTTTATTATACGATTTTAAGCCGAACTAAAATGAAATGAAGTTTAATGGTCAAACAAACCAGCCATTCAGTTACGCTCACGTTCCCAAAACATAATACGGGGTTGTTCGATTGGTTTCCTATATTCTTCAAGTCCACTCCCTTAGCCTTTTTTGTTTATTTTCATTTCCCAGGAACCTTTTAGTAGTGGGCGTTTCTCGTGGAACTTAAACCCAAATTATAGCAATTAGCCAGTGCTTTGTGGGAGATTTATTTGCGTCTAAAAGGGTTAGTCAAAGCTGACTGCAGCTGTTTCAGCTCTTCAACTGCCAAAACCAAACGATTCTGATCTGATCCTCGGCTGCGCGGGGGTTGGTTTCCAGATCGATCGCATGCGGGCTGGCTGGCTGCATCTATAAATGCCAACAGCTGTGACTCCGCTTTGTCTATGGCCTGACCTCATTACAGAAAACGAGAGAGGGGTCTGGGGATCGGCTTTCAATGCACCACCATCCAGAGTCCGTGGCCTTATCAAACCTCCCTTTGATTGCTTTGTACTCGGCGTTCTTTTTTTGTATAAATGCCACTCGCACATGCATGTGTAATTATAATCGTAAAAAGTGTCTGTTCGGGGCATTATAAATGCACCCGCATCGGGTGGCCAGTTGGGAAGCCCTTGAATCCCTTAAAGCCCCGACTCCGAGTACTTTGGATGAACTTTTCTATAATTTGGCCAGTAAGCTAGAGTGCGTAATTTATGCAGCTATGCAGCGGCACCACCACTCTTGCTTTCACCGGACTACCTGAAAAACCGGCTGAGGACCTACCGTCTGGCTGCCGTCTGGCATTTATTTGCTACCCCTGCGCAGATCTGCAACCCTCTGGTAGGGAACTGCTGCCGGCCACGTGCCACAATCTGGGAATCTACCCGAAACCGAAATCAAAATGTGCAAAAACAGGCGGCGCCTGCTGTTTAGGGATCAATGACTTGTGGACAGGGACAACCGGAAGTGCAGCAGCTGACTTTGATTTGTTAATAACACGTAACACGTATTAATAACTCCTCATCTCTTTTTCTGATTACAGAGTTCATGAAGGAGCGCAAGCGTTTGGCCCAGGCACCCAAGAAACTATCGCCCGCAAAGCGTCTGCGCACCAGTTCTCCCAGCTCATCCGCCAGCTCGAGCTCCAGCGGAGGATTTGGATTGGGGACGCACTTCGGGGCGATGCTGAAGCGCCCGCGCCACAACTAACGCTCCAGATTCGCTGGCCAACCCACCGAATTGCAATTTGTAATTTTACAATTGATTTTTTATAAGCCACTGCGATTGTGTAGTATTTCCTAATTTTTTATTACGAACCTTTTATGCAGTGCAAGGGCGACAGTTGCGAATATTAATCGTTAGTCTTCAACTACTCGTAACCAGTAATTAGTTGTAAGCCATCAAGTAAGCTCGAGCTACATGAAACTTTTTAGATTTCTCTAGTGAGAAATGCCATAAACTAAGTGATTAGTTCTTAACAACAACCAACTATTGAACTAGAAGAGAGAGAGACCGCAAGCTAAATGGAATTAGTCTTAACTATCTTGAAGCCAACCGAAATTTAACCTTTATAACGATGGAATACGCTAACTTTACATAACTTTGTAAAATCCTTGCAAATTTCACTGGCAACTTTTGCATTTGAAATTTGCCGGGTGAACACAGAACTCATCCCTGCTCTGGCCTGCCAGTGTTTATCCGAAAACCGAAACTCAGGGCAGAGCAGAATTGAATTTTGTTTTGAACTTTAAGGGCGCTAAAACGGAGCCCCAATAAGCCGGTTTTTGGCTCATTGCCGCCTTGTTTTTGTCGACCTACTAACCTATTGTACCCAATTCGACCAGTGGAAAAACAAACAAAAGGAAGAGGAATGCCTTTGAATTATTTCGTCAATTTCTGCACGTTTGGATGCCTCATTTATAAGATTGCCGCCGAATGCACACAAATTGTCGCGCTCTCATTTCCTAACCAGTGGTAAAAATGTCCTTTATGATTTGCTACGATCTCTGGGCAAATTATGAAAACAATTTTGCCTAAACTATCATGTACAAAAACTAGATTACTTTACTATACACATAGGCAGAGCCTATTCTTCATAACACTTATACAAAGCATATATTTGTAAGGCCTAACTAAGAACAAAATCCAAAGTATTCTCCTAATATTTATATGTATAGATACTCTATGTATAATTAAATCATACGCAACTCATACTTCAATAAAACAAAACACAAAACAGCGCTGAATGTTCTCTTTAAAATCTACAAAAAAACAAAAACACCGAAAACACCTGCATAAAATCATTTACATGTTTGTTTGTTGACATTTATTCCTATCCATTGCTTTGGTTGTAGCTGTAGCTGTAGTTTATTAAAATAATTTTGTACATTTCATAAGTTAATATTTGTTTTTCTGCAATAAATTGTTTTTGATTTTCTAGTTGGTAGTAACACGATTGGTTGTTTTCTATTTAAAGGGAAGTTCTTAAAAAACCATGTCCGCATCCTGTTACCAAACCCAAATCCACAAGACAAATTTATATTTTCCATTTTATTCAATAATTTAATTTGATTTATTGCTTACATCAAGTACATAAATATTAATTTGTTTCATTCGACGCTTTGTGGTTTTACCTAGGTTCCATTTAGTTGATCTGATCTCTACATACAAATATATATATATCGGATATATACAGTGGACTCCGGAGCTGGTCACCTACTTCCCCGCCGCCTTCTCCTCCAACTGGGCCTGGATGTGCCGGACGTTGTGGCCTCCGCCGTTGTGGTTGTGCCGCTGGAAGAAGGCATTGATGGAGCTCATGGAGCGGTACTCCAGGTTATCGCTGACATGCCAGTCGACGCTGATGCTCTGGTGACGACCCATGGGATTGCGGATGCGCGTCTCGTTGTACTTCTCCAGCAGATGCAGCAAGCAGTCCTTGGTGGTGTTGGCCGCCTCCTCCAGATTCACGGTTTGGTGGGTGTCCGGCAGTCCCACGGGCACATCCCGACTCATTTGGTTTATCCGGAACTTGGCCCGACGACTGCTGGCCGATTCGTGGCTGGAGCTAGTGGAGATTGGGTTGCTGGCGCTGGAGAAGATTTGGTTGCTGGTGCTGGCGGTACTGCTGGCGGTGCTGGAGAACACCTTCGAGGAGCTGGTGGTGCTGGTTCTTTGTACATGCTGGCTGGTGATGCTCTTGGCATTGGAACTGCTCATCGTTTGCACCGTGGACGAGCGCTGGGACTGCACCAGGGATTTGCTGGATGAGCTGTTGCCATTGCTTAACTTTGGTGTTTCCTCGATGGACTGCTGAAGTCTCACGGAAAGCGAACTGATTTTGGCCTTGCTTTGGCCATCATCGTAGCTGCTTTGGCTCTGGGAAGTGCTGCTGGCCTGGCTGAGGAGTCCTCCCTTCGCCGTGGGACGATTCCAGCTGCTGCTGGAGGTGCTTCTGCTGGTCCACCTATTGCCATCCTGGCTGATCTCGGAGGTTTTGCTAGAGGTACTGCCTGAAGGAGCAGCAGTAGCTGCAGGAGCAGCAGCAGCTGGAGGAGCAGCAGCTGGAGGAGCAGCAGCCGCAGCAGGAGCAGGAGGATTAGGAGCTGATCCACTACTACTACTGCCATTATTGTTGGCATCCCCCAGCTTGGTGTTGATCTCGGCCAGCATCAGCAGGTGATCGGACAGCTTCCGGATCTCTTCCGCCAGATTCACACGCTCCCCGGAACTCCGACGACCCAGGAGGTAGGTGGTATCCGAGTTCCTGCGGTCGAAGGTGTGCAGATAGCTCTTCATACTCCGCTGCTGCTGGGCGGTGGATTGGCTGCCGGAGAACTCGTCGAAGTTCTCGTTGAACAGGTGCTGCGGCGTGGGAGTGCCCGGACTGGAGGTGGCCACCGTTGGGAACAGCTTCTCCCGGGATTCGTTGATGGGCGTGGCCACCGAGTGGGGACTCTCGAAGCCCGCACTACGGGTTTCCTCCTCCTCCGGCAGATCTGCATCCTCGCCTCGTTCGTCATCCGTCATGGTGTCAATCGATTCGCAGGGCGAAGGCGAACAAACTGTAAACGGAGCAGAGTTATAGAAAGACTTTTCGAAAGATCTACCTATCTACATAGAGATTGTGCGGTTATTGCCGAAAGTAGTTTACAGACAGGTTAGTGTACATGAAATGGTAATTTACACACAGAAAGATCATGCTTATGAGTTCAGAGAGTTGTGTAAAATGGCTCTTAGGAACTTAGAAATGTACAGATGGAGTTACGGTTAATAATATTCTACAGAAAACAGGCTATTTGTTAATCCATAGCAACATTTATTTAAAAACTGTCTTGAACAAGTTTTGTACTTCTTTAAAAACAAAAAAAAATATCAATTTTGTAAAGATCAGTTTAAATTATTTGCTCAATTCCTAAATAATAATACTCCAACCTAATATCTGAATTTTAATTTAGGAACGTTTTTTCATTACTAAAAAATCATAGGAAGTTCAGCAAGTTAGAAAGAGAAATTTCTTATGAATACCTATTACTTCCTTATTTAGATAGATACTTAAGACTTCACCTTAAGGTTAATACGATATAGCGATTCTCCCTGACGGACAAATCACAAATGAACATGAGACTGACTTTGGAATTTGACTGCGTTCTCTGAGGATGATATTGGTTTTCTGAGCTGGATGTTGGGCTTACCTGGCTGGCAGACCAGAAACTGTGGCTATACGAGTACATATGTGTGTCGATCTAGACTTGAAGTGGGGAATGGGTGTAATTCTGGGGGATTTGGATTCGGAAATGGAAATGGAAGTGGGATTGGGGAAGAGCGGAATGGATTTCGGTTTCTCGCCTTGAAGAAACTACAGAGAAGTATCATTGTGCTGGAGTTTGAATTATATTTTGGATATATTTTTCAGTAGTTTTCTTAGATTTTGTCAATGGCTGTCATTATCACAGTGTCAAAGTGGTTAATAGAGCTGGTCATCCGCTACAAGGATGCCAGGCACATTGCTTAATGCTAGGGTTACTTAAACATAAACAACAGTTCTGGTTGGCAAGCTGGTCCTCCCCCGTTCGGGATTGATTTTACCAAAGAGTTGGGGTTAACACAGAGACAGAGAGATAGAGAAGGAAAGAGATGTGGACAGAGAGGGGGCTAGCCAGCTTGGTCCACATTCAAGTTACGAACAACAATTAGTTTGACAAGTTAATCGTGTAATATACAAAGTCGATCCGGTCGCAGGATGCAGTCGGAGATGCGATGCGGATGCCTCATTTGCCGTGGATGAGGGCGTGTCGGTCGCGCTGTCGCTGGGATCCGTACTCACCTCTAGAGGAGGAGAGGCTGTCCTGGCCGTGAGGCCTCCGGGGATTCGGGTAGCTCTCGCCCAGCGGCGCTATCACATTGCCCTCCACGTCGAACACGTACGGACTGTTCGGATGCGTCTCCCAGCGCACGATGAAGTTCTTCAGGTTGTCCTTCGTGGCATCCAGCTCCTTGTTCTGGAAAGGAATAGGGATGCGAAGGGTAACACAGCTACTTGGTAGTGCCTTAGGAAATATATCTTGAAAAGGTCTAAACACCTCGGAAAAGATAACATTTTTAATAGGGTATCACCATCATACATATATAATAATTTAAAAATCATCCAACTTTTTAATCTAAAACTAAATTGATACTATTTTTTTGAACTATTGTCTAAAAATTATTCCAGCTAGAGCTAGAATCAAATAGACCAAAGAATACCAAATGAGGTGGTATAAAACTTGAAGAGGTAAAGGCCTATGACCAATGGTATTTAAACCAATGTTATTTATAGCACTAAAATCGAAGTTAAGTTACCATAAATATATAACAAAATACCCTTCTCTTTAAATACGAAACATGTTACCGTGAGACCAACATCTCTGGAAACATGACACCCCTTCGATTCTTGGTTTGCCTGACAGGTCTGCTGTTCCCATTACTCACCTCCAGATCGGCGGCGCTGCAGAGCTTGGCCAGCTCCTCGTCCTGCTGGAGCTCCTCCTGCTTCGCTTGCCCCGCCTGCGACTCCGCCTCCTCGTCGTCCTCGTCCTCGATGGTTGCCGAGGAGTCCTCGGAGGACTCCGAGGGAGCCGTCACCGGAGACACGGACTTCAGGCGCGACTTGGACGCCATGGAGGCGGCCTTTGTGATGGGCGTGGCTGCGGCGGCGGTGGACGGCCGCTGCTGGAGCCATTTGTGCTTCATGCACTCGGCGGCTGTCATCCGGGTGCTGGGGAAAATGGAAATCCGGAGACGGTGTGGGTTAGCAACCAGACTCTAATTAGGGGAGGACCCGGAACACCCACCTCAGGTCCTTGGCCAGCAACTTGGCTATGAAATCCAGACACTCGGGGGATATGCCATTAAAGCATTCATCCTCGAAATCGTATTTCGCAATGGTTACATTTGACATTGTTTCAATGTCGTTCTCGCCCATGAAAGGCGACAGTCCTGAGATGCTGTTTCCAACCACATCGTATGTGATATGGGATAATGTGAATTTCCGAGGTGTGGGAGAGTCAATAAACATGAAAAGTAAAAGCAGCGCAAGTAGAATAAATAAAAACACAAAAACCAACACTTAATTAACTAAATTAAATTCGCCAAGGAGTGCGAGAAGATGCCACCACAACCGCCCCCTTTGATTATCACATTTTTAGCTGGTACACACTTTTAATTGGTTTTCTCCCAAGGACCTACCCTCAAGATATGAGTGCGGGTCTTGATTAAATTTCTAATTGCTCGGGCCGCAACATAAATGGTTCGAAAATATTGAGTTGGTTAAAATCTGAAGAGTGGTTAAGTCAACTTCCTTGGGGTATTTTTAGAGTTCTAACAGAGTTAATTAGATTTCATATTGAACTTACAGCACATAGCATATAACGCCGACACTCCACATATCTGTTCCATAGGATATGCAGTCGAAGTTAACCACTTCTGGCGCCACAAACTCTGGTGTGCCGAAGAGAACCTAATATATGGGTCAATATTAAATTTGTAATTGTATTTAAAGTAGGTTATATCAAGAATAGCTTACCCTAAGACGCTTATCTGGATCAAATTTACGTGCTAGTCCAAAGTCAATTATCTTAATGCGATTGCCCTTTTGTGTGAGTACCAGAATGTTTTCGGGCTTCAGATCCAAGTGGACTATGCCATTGCCATGGATAAAGGCCATGGCCTCACACACTTGGCGAATAAAGACCCGGCAGACTCTTTCGGTGAGGACGAACTCATCGTCCACCACTCGATCAAAAAGCTCGCCACCTTCAATGCTGTGAAAAAAAAATGTTCACTATATTGGAAACATGAAAAGTATTAAATAACAAAAAGCAATGCCATAACATAGAAACAACGCCAAACAAATCATGCAAAACCAAGCAGAGAAACCATTAGCAGAGTTATCGCCTTTCAATTAGTGTCTCCTCCTCGTTAACCAAAGGTTTTAGCTTCGTTTTAGTTACCTTACCTGACAAACAACCCACTTTAAACTAGTTATGTTATTTACAAGAGATACCGATTGCTCGGCCAGAACACGAAAATCAGATAATCCATGAACATCCATCCGCTCGAGTGACGGACATCAACTAACAGCATGCCGATTGGAATTGGAATCGGAATCGGAGGGAATTATGTTCAGACACTCGGATGAATGTCATCCGAGATTTGCCTCGAATGTCGACAACACAACACAAAAACCCCTCCCAATCCATTCCCCCCATCAGATGCTCATGAAAAATGTCGAAAAAATAGGAGAAAAGCCGCAATGCATTAGTTTTTCTCTGTTTTTTTGGGTTGTTAGTTGATGCACTTCACCCCGAATCGAGTAAATTAAAATTGCATGTGGATCTTTGTGCATTTCACATTTGAAATGGGATATTGTTATCCATCTGATGGAATGTATATATGTGAATACTACACTTTTAACACTGTCGGCTATCAAATTAGAGTTATGGCTTTCCCATTAGAGTTTACTCTAATACTCTAATAAGAATTCATACCTAACTCCTAACACGTAATAAAAAATACACACACAGAAATTTCTTAAAGATTTAGATATAAAGTACCTAAGTATTGAGGAAGAGAAAATTGTATTTATCTGGTAGATTAAATGTACTTTCTTTTTGGGATCTAAATGATCTAATAACAATGCACATCCAATTCTTAACACATTCTAAAATATATACACAGAGATATTTTAAAGGTTTTAATATAATGTACCTAAGTATTTGTTTGTATAGATTTTATAAATGTTATTTAATAAATTTAAAAAAAAAATATTTACTATTCTGGTCTATCAAATATGCTTTCCTATTGGGATATAAATACTGGAACAATAATCCAAAAACTATTGTTAAATCGTTCTAAAATATATACACCCAGAAATATTTTGAAGGTTTAAATAAATTGTTTACAGGTATTTGTTTGTATAGATTTTAATAAGTATATTTTACGAATTTAATGAAAACAAATTGTACTATTCTGGTGGCTTAAATATATTTTCTAATTGGGAAAATGACGTTGCCATAAAACTGCATTTGATATGAGTTCTTTCAACTTCAATAGATGCCTATGAAAAACCATTATACAAATGAGATTCGCTTTAAACTGTGTTTTATTAAAATGTGTTTCGGTAAAAAGACCAAAAGGTAAATCCTCTCAATTAAGGAAATCCAATGAAGCTTTTAGCCCAAAGAGTTTCATTTCGCTTGGCATGTGCAAAACAATTGCCAAAGTGTTTAACTATTTATGGCCAAATGATGGCTGTGCCATTTAAATCCAGTTAAAACACTAGCACTTTGTTTGAGTTTGCCATTTCAGTTAACTTCCTTTGAGTGGCTTTTCGTCGATGGAAACTTAATATACTTGAAAGGCAGGATGGTTAAACAATTTTCCTTGCAGCTCATCTCAGTGCAAAAGTGCGTCGAGTAATTTTGTTCTCCTTCGGAAAACAGGAAAATATGTTGTCCATAGTTGAACATTCTGTTATGAATATGCCAGGGAGAACTATGCCAGTCAACAATTAACTTTTCTTGGGGGAAAACGACAAGAACAACAAGAGCGGCAAGAACAACAGCACAAGTTGTCCAAACTGCAGTTTCCCTGTTTTGTTGGAAATTAATTTAAGTTGACAAAGTCTTTCGGGGGCTTTGTCTATGGGTCTATGAAAACGGAATTGTTTCGTCTTCCCTTTGTTTTCCCCACTGGGCGGCGAAAGTGGGTCAAGGCCGTCGACTAATCAGTGGGCCCGAAACACCTGCCTCAATCGTTTTTATGGCCCATTAGAACCTTAACCCATGTCAGCATTCATTTGCGAGCGAAGAAGCTGCGAAAAACTTTCGCGAGGCAAATAAAAGCTGTTGTAAATTTCTATAAATGCTCGTTGTGTGTGCAAAGGGAAAACCTGTTGCTTAAGGCTTTTCTTTCTGACTTTGTGTGAGTGGTTTTTCTTTTGTGTTTGGGTGTGGCAGAAAAGTTTACTAGTTTACGATAATGTGCGTACGTGTAAATCGCATTTTATGCACATTCCCACTGATTGCAAGATATTGTGTCCCCGTACCCAGCAACAATGTGGCAAACAACACAGGGGACAACAAACTTATCGGATAGTGGAACAGAGGGCTACAGAAGTATTTACTAGGGTGACCCGAGCTTGGAGACCAAAACTCTTTACGAAGGTTTTACTATTAATAAAAAAATATTTTAATTTAATTTTGATTTTCTTAAAGTAGCTTTGGCTTTAAATTGTTATTACTTTAATCTAATTCTATAGGTTTTGGTCCCCAAACTCAAACCACCCTAAAAATACATGCATATATAAAAGATACATAGAGAAATATGGAAGGGAGTCACACCCACGAGACAGGGACAAGCAAAATCAACACATTCATTTATAGGGGCTCTTGAGATCTTCCTTACAGTTCCAGGACGACGCACATCATTTTCTGATATTCGTATGCCGCGTACAATTGTATAATGAGGTGATGCTGCAATGAATTCATAATCTCCACCTCCCGCTCCACATTCCGCTTGTCCTCGCGTTTTGGAATCGGTACAAACTTGGCCGCCAGCTGAAGGCCATTCGCCTTGTCCCTGCACTTGTACACCGTCCCGAATTTTCCGCTGCACGGGGGATAGTATTGATTAATCATTGGTTCCTTACTCAAGGAAGTATTAGAGCCCTTGGAATACTCACCGTCCCACCTCGCCTAGCACATCGTAAAGTTTATGGGCATCCACGTTGCGATTTATGGTCACATCGCGCATAGGAAACGCCGGTTCCAGAACTGTAAAATTAGAGGAAATGGAAGGTGTTAAGTTGGAACTATAAAATGGTTTAGTAATTGAAATATGGAACAGGTATTTTTCATTTTCTCCATCAAATTAGTATTGTACCCCCTCTTTTTGTGGTGGAGTACCTGCATATATGGGTTATTTTATTTACTTTTGAAAAGCGGCTCCATACAAAATATGTCTTTTAATGATTATTATTATAATAACTTTGTGAATTATAAATTTTAGAATTTATTTTACTATCTCTTGTACTTAAAGGATCTTTATCGCCTTATCATTTTGTTAAAGGGCCTACCTACCTATTTACCTAATTCTTCTGAATTTCCAGGTAGGCCTTGTTTACCTTACTGTTTTTACTTCAGAAAGAATAGATATATTTTTCGGTACACTCATCGGAGCACTGATATCTAAACACACACATGTACACCCCTCAGTACTTCTTGATAGCCAAGTGTACTTGGCTTCATTCTGCCATTTCATCAGCCCCTAATTCCAATGCACTCCCTTATCAGCATATCAGAGGGCTGCCATAAATTGACAAGCCATAGGTGGACTATACTGTCGGAAATGTTTCGGTCCGATTAAGACCTCAGCTGTGTGATTTGATTAGATTTCCTGTTCCTGGGCACAGAAATAAAGAATAACAAGTGCTCCCCCGAGCTACACTGCCCAACATGGTTGAGAGTGCTCCTCCGGCAATATGGCAATATGGCATTTCAATCATTTCCATTGTCCAGGGCCCAGTTCGGAGTGCATTTAATATCGGCTATTAGGGACCCAGTCCTCCACCGACTGCTCAACAACAGTTTGTGCTTGTCACATATTTCGCAGGACATATTGCACACAAGTTGGTCCGTTGTATTCAGAGGAAACCCTTTCAGAGTTTGATTCGTTGTAGCTCTCGTCGGCCATTGTGTGTTGTTGCATGTCTACGAGTTGGCAAACAAATAAAAATGACTTGATTCAATTGAATTTGTGCAACGCAACGATATGAAATGGGGACAACAACAGTGACGAGTGGGAATATTGTGACAACTATGGGATGTGGATGTGTATGTGGATGTTGGGTTTCCTAAGGGTCTGCGTGTGGTCGCCAAACTGTGTTCGGTTTTTCATATTTTCATATTTTTCATGTTTTTACCATTACGCACAAAGAGTTTCAACTTGACATTCGACCACAATAATCCCCAGAGATTTTGTGGCAGGCATGGAAACAGTTGCTTTCGAAAATTTGCAATTGGAATTATTGATAATCTGCCAAAAGTTCTTGGTAAAAGCAGAGAAAGTCAGTCTGTGGAGTTAACCTATTGAGGGTCGATGGGGTGCAACTATCTAAAAAATAATAATGTACTAGTTACAGTATTTTGAAAGTCCCAAACTAATTTTATTGTTAATAAACAAATAATAAAATACAAAACTAATAAAAGAAATAAACCTTAAATAAAACATAAAATCTATTTTATGGTCATTATAGCAGCTGCTTTAGGTGTGAACTAAAAAAGTATTTGCCCTGGGTCCTACAGATAAGAAAAATTAACTACTTCTTAAAAAATTACATGAAGAAAATTTAATAAATGAAATAAACTTTTTATAAGATTCAAAAAAATAGCCATTGTCTCCAAACATTTTAAAATTTTACACCAATACATCAAATACGAAGAGATACAAGAAGATACAACACCTCGCTTTCTAGTACAACATTTTCTTGACTTTTTCCAGCTGCACTTAACGGCGGCATTTAAGGGGTTAAGTTGTTAGCAGGCGCCTATGAATTGATGTCATCTGCGTGGCAGCTGTCCCATTAATATGTAAATGGCGCACATAAGTATGCTACGGAAAACACGATAAATCTTTAAAATCAAAGGCGAAGCAAAGGAAAAGACTTTTCCGTATGGAAAGAGGGGGGGGGGAGGGGTGTGTGTGTGGGAGTGGCACAAACTTGGCAAATTCAAAGTGAAAGTTGAGCGTCTACTGTGAATAGAAATGGAGGCTGTGAGAGCGTTTTCTTTGCTATTTGTGTGCAGCGAGGCACTTGTACACACATATATGTATGTACATACGTGGGCATGCATTTTCTGCGACTGCCGAGTCTTGACGCCTCCCTTTCGGCCACGCCCCCTCCTTGCCCATATCTTGTTTAAACGGTTTTTGGCGCAAATTCATGCAGCGTCTGAGTGAGTGAGTGCATGTGTGAGTGCAGTTGAGTGCACTCTGCCAATAATGCGCACAATTTAAGTTTCGGCAAGAGCGCCCAAACACTTGCATTAGAGAAGAAAATTGAAGAGGGCCCCTCCATTGAATGGACGTTCTGCTTAAAAGTTGCCAACTTCTCGGCTGCCCCATAACTCATAATTCAAAAGACACAAGAGTGGAATCGAAATCAGGCGACGAGATTCGAGATATTCCATCGCTCATATAATTTCAGCATGAGCGCAGACGGGCATACATTATGCACAAACGTTCACTCTCAGTCCCTTTTAAACTTGAAAAAATATAGTTATGTAAGAGACTTTTAAAGAAAAATATGAGACTTACAGATGATTTTTAATACTTTCAAGATCTGTTAATTTTTATATCTTCACGGCTATTTTTATTGATTTTTAATACTTTACAAATTGTTTTACCTATAGGAAACATCATTATATTATTAATGAAAAACTTTCACCTGACTTTAAAAAACATGTATAACCTCTGAATCATTGGTATCATCGATAACTTACATATAAAAACTCGTCAAAGGTGAGTATAACAAGATAATAACCCATTGAGGACCCGCATTTTTTGTTGGGTGTACTCATATTCATACTCACAAATGCATGTGAGTGGGCGGCAGGTAGCTCCCATTCATTTCCTGGTTCGAGCTCATGAATAAATGAATTTATATCGACTCTGCTTGGCATTTGCACTGCACCGCTTATCCAAAGAGGAAGCCCAGGGACTTGGGCGGCAGGGGGTTAAGGGGTTAAGGGGTCGGGATATGCCCATATGCTTTACGCCGGCTAGACGGTGGGCGTGGCTGCGATGGGCGGTGGTTGGTGGGTGGTGGGCTGACGACCCCAATGCACAAACCAAATGCAATCGAAATTGGACTTGAGCCGTTTGAAGTGTTTTCGTAAATCAATTTCAGTTCCATTAAGCGGCAAGATGTGGATATAATACACGGTTCGTTGGCAGGGATGCGGGGGGATAAAAATATTGATGCACGGAGTAATCTGATTTGCATTTATATGTACAATGTACTTATGGATGCACCTTTTTATTTAGTTGCTTTCCTATTTTTTAAAAGTATTTAAAAACTGTTTTAACGCTATTGTTGGTATTTACTTGTTTTTTAGTACATATAATATATCAGGTGATTTAGAAAGATAATAAATTAATTATTAAAAAGACACTACAAACAAAAATAATTTTTATGAATAATTTATAAGGAAGATAATATTTATAATCTGTTCTTTAATGCAAGAAGCTAATTGCGATAATTGCGTTTATCAGCTACTTGTAATTTTCCTGTGTCTGCCAATAGTTATCCAATGGATAATAATGATCTTTCTTTCATCATCTCTTTTGGCTGTTAAATAGCTTTCGTCTGAAGTTTGAATTCCGTGTCAGACATCACTTATTCTGAAGTACCACTTTTTTCGACGTCTATATTCATCTCAATCCCTCTCTCTTTCACTCCCCATCTCGCCGTCTCTTCCGCCCACTCGGGTCAATGTGTGAGTTGCGTTCAAAAGTGCAACTCGTTGCAAATTCAATTCGAAAAACTTTATAAAGCTAATTTATGCACAATATCAATAAAAATGGCTGGGCGGGAGTCGCAGATACTATACTATATTTGCACATCCCATTCAATAGAGTGGGGCATTGAAGCGGCTGACGCAAATGGAGAACGATTTTTTGTGCCAACGATGGCAATTTTTTCTGATATGAAAATCAGCAAATTTTTCTTTGATTTGCCTTTGCTCCTTGGGTCGTCAAGGATCTGGCAGGATAACCCGCCCCCTGCTCATTTTGGCAACTGTTGCCAGGATTGCCTTGACTTTCAGATTAAAAAATAAAATCCAAACGAACCGAGTCCTCGGCGGAAGAGGAAAATGTTTTCCCCCGACTTTTCCGCTTATCGATTTGAGGCTGCAATTTGTCGTTGTCATAAAAATTGTGTAATGTGCTTAATGAAATTTTTTTTAATAACACAATTTAAGGGCACGTGAGTTTAGCAGTGGAAAATGTGTTGTACCCACAGCAAAAAAGAAATGAAAACTGTTGCACATCAAACGATGGATGTCAATGTGCCACACATTACGTGGCCACAAAAGGAAAAGCTGGGAAAAAATAACCAGAAGCCAGACGTCGGCATTTTAATATATATGTATAAACCAAAGTTACGCAATCCTGAGAGTCTTGCAGGCACTTCCTCATTGTTTATATTCGCTTTTAATAACACTTTTTTACGCGACCAAAGCAATCCGCACAAGTATGCCGAGCATTTAATGGCAAGGCCAGACGGTGAAATGCATATACTATAAGTAATACACTTTATGCTGCCAGGAAGCCCGCATTATGCTGTTTGTTTGCCGAGTTAAATCACTTGCTTAATTCGGAGCAAAGAGGATTTTAGACTCACTGTGGTGAACTTTGAACTCAACTTTTGTCTTCTGCATAGGCAAATGTTGCTTTTTACCCAGTAACTTTAAGCCTTTAATTTTTGTTGGCCCTTTAAAGAGCTTATCAGTATTATTTCAAATTAAATTCTTATTATTCAAAGAAAATATGATATTAAATGCCAAGTTTTGCATCACCAAACAAGGGATTTGAGTTTGGATACAAAGAAAACATTCAAACTCATTAGGAAAAGCATGTAATTTGAGATTTCCACATAAATATATTCCAAATAAAACTGTTCAGAACAAACAATTAATCTCTTAATTTTGCTAGAAATATAATACATGGTAGTTTTTTACAAAAATTAAACTGAAATAAATGTGTTATTTGC